GCAGTGTGTACCAAAAACAGTGTTGCTAAAACTTGTCAGAGTCATCGGTTTTCACTGGAAGATAAAATTTAACAACCCAAATCCTATTTCCTTTCTTTCTTATGGCTTCCTTCTTCGGGAGTCATTACGGAGAAACTTCTGTCACGATCTCAGCCTATCACTTACATTCTTATCGCAGCAGTTCCCAAACTGTTTTGTCCGTGCACCCCCTTGCGACAACCAGGAAACATCTTATAATGGAAGGTATCAGGTTCGAGTCCACCAGCTGCCAAGTTACCACTGAGGTGCACTGAGCATGGCACTGTGCCCACACACTGCTCCCCAAAGGCTTAAGCTGCCCCCTGCTTACTTTGATGATGGGTAAAAAGCAGAGGTCAAATCCAGAGGTCAAAGGTGGACAAAATAATGTGTTGTGAATGTCATGGAGTTTGATCTGTGTATGTGGATGCAAAAACTATTTTTGCCATCTTGTTCTGTGCGATCACTGGACAAGAGTGTCAGAGTCTAATTGAGTTATATGTTCATCCAGAACAGGCCCGTGGAGGTGTGTGTGTGTGTGTGAACATGAGAGGTAGACTGATTTATTTGGGAAGACAAGTTGGCCGCCGCGAGGAGCTCATTATGGTTTAACAGTCTGGAGTGTGAAGGCCCTGCTTCAGCCTGATAATGGGGTTTCACTTACTGCTACACACTGAAAATGGAGGCTAGATGCATCACAGGAAGAACTGGCTCACACACGCTGAAACACACACACACAAACCAGATTTTTAAAAGAGATAAAAACTTAGCAAGCACACATTTCCACATTCTCACAGTCACATCCTCATGGGTGTACAGTATATGGCCAGATATTATATTCAAACATATTGAAAATTATATACAGACTCCCTACCTCCCTGCTCAATGATCCATGCAGCATGAAAAGCTTGCCGTCTGAAATCGGCATCAGATTCCTCCCCCTGCGGCTGTCTTATCTTCGCCTCTCACGACTCACCACTGATAGGATAAAATAGATTTTTCACCTTGGGGCTAAAGTGTGTGTCGCCTTTTCCAAAGACGTTAGCTTTCTTGGTACTTACCCATTCTTTTAAAGTGTGTGTCGCCTTTTCCAAAGACAGTAGCTTTCTTGGTACTTACCTGGAAGGGAATGTGTCGGAGAATTCCTGAATCAAAACGGCAAGTCAAAGTAGGTCGTATTAATAATAGACAGGTGTAAATAGTGAAAATATATTACATGATGTAGTATTATAACCTCTGCTACTCCTCTTTCACCATGTCTCCACGGAGTTGGTAGTGATTGTATATATAGTACGGCCTTTAACCCAGCTCTACAGTATGGGTTCACGTGTGCAATCAATCAATATGCAAATCGAAGCGGCAGCTCTGCCCATGAATCTGTACATGGTGAATTTCCAGATAACTCAGTACTCTTGAGGAATCTATAGTAATGAAGGCACTATAGAAGCAAGGGAGAGCCAATTCAAATAAAGTGTAGAGGAAAAATTATATATTCACATTGTTGGGTATCAGTAGGAGTTGGGCCGACAAATGGTTATAGTGAGTCAGAAGAACACAAATCCAGATCCAGCCCAGATGAATTCAAACAACTAGATACAATTTAGTTTAAAAAAACAGCATCACTAATTGGCTCAAATGGGCTGCTTTATGAACAGTACCTGATTGGACCAGATAAGCTGGTGCACGAGCAAAAGGTCTGCGTGCAATCTACTTTAGACCCATGATTCACCCATCCCTCTCATTTCCTGCTCACTGCTGCTGTTGAAGTCTCAGTCTGCAGATCAAGGAGCCACCATCTTGTTGCTAATCTGATTTCCTACCTCACCTATTGTTTGTTCTTCAGAGAGGCTTTTCTCTGATCATATGAGCTGGACTTACTGAACATGCTGTCACTCACACGTTCTCCCCCTCCTCTGGAACATCCTGTATTGTAGTAAAGCGATGGTATGACGACCTGGCCTAACATCTGCTCACCAACTGTGCACAGCCGTCCTGTCATTTCAATCTGCTTTCTGTTAAAAACCCAGAGCAGACAGTTTCCTCTGTCTGGATTTAAAAACAAGCTGCGACATCTAAAAAAAAAAAAGATTAAATAATTTACATTAAATAGAATCACCTTTGTTTAGACTGTTTTTAAAAAGGATCAGGGGAGTTTTGATACGATTCATGTAAATCTTTAAATAATAACCTTGACAGAGTTTGAATTTTTTTTCCCAAGCCATTAAACTTGGCTTTTTCCCCCAGCATAAGGCATGTGAGATATCATCTCAAACTTGTGCTTGAACCTCTCCTCCTTCCCACTCTCCTCTGTCTGTGCTGATCTGTGCAAAGTATTTTCCTCTAGTGTGCGTTCAGACAGTCTGAGACTCCCTGTGATTTACTGTATGGTCTGTTCCCACTGTCACAAACACTGAGGGTGGCCCACAGGGCTGCAGGCTTGCATTGTTCCAGTGAAAAACACTGCATAATCAACTTCTTTGCAATAATATGTTATAATACTTATTTAGGTCCTCCATATAATCCAAAGTCCTCGTGACAAGCTGTCCATCCATGCGTGTTTGTCCACCTTTTGGAAATGCAAAAAATCTAAAAATAATTCAAATGTACAGACTAGCTTGAAAGTTTTGCTTCCCAAAGTGGGGGGCGGGATTCCCTTGGGGGCACAAACAGTTTTGAGCGGGGAGGGATGCAGCAAGACTAATTACCTACATTTTTAATAATTTGTATTACAGGGGAGGGGGGACACCATCATATATCATTATAAAAGTAATCAAATGAACATATGAACTAATTCACCCTGTAATGTCCATCTGTCAGAAATGGTTTAGTGACTGGATTCACAGCACAAACAGTGAGTTCAAGAGAAGAGCACAACAGAATGCTGTACTTTAGCCTTTACAACCCATTGAATTGTTCATCTGAGTTCTTTTTTCCACTAGTACATATTTTGACCTGCTCTCTCTCCAGAGCTTTGCCACGCACTGAGCCTGTGTGCTGAGTCACCTAATGATTCCAGTGTGGGCTGCAAGAAGAAAAAGCCACTTAAGTCTCTCTGGGTGTACAAGTAAAAGGCACTTTAGGCACAGACAATGTTTTTATTTTGTTCATATGTCACCGTGGCAGTTGAAACTTATGGTTCTGAGCTTTACTATAGACTTTGATACCTAATTTACACCATCCTAGTACAATAAGTAAATAGTAAGTGGGAAGTACATTGAATATGTGTGCACATACGTTAGGGGAGACAATAAACTTACATAATATTATATAATATATATATTTCTCGGAGGAATTTCTTTTTTGTTGTAATTTTACCCCTTATGTACCTATGGTAATTATAGTACAATTATACTTTCATTAATAGATCATTTTAACTACTCTTCACTATTAGTCAAAAGACTTAATTTCTATATTTTTTATTTTATATTTATGTTACATATTTTTACGTCAAAAAAGTATTTATTCTTGCAGATCACATGTTGTGCTGTAAAAGTGAGCACAACATAGTTGCACAATTAGACTGCCTTAAATGAATGAAAAGAAAACTATTGACCTTCTCACTGTTGCCAAAGTGTTGCAATCGCCTTAATTATTATGCATTCAGCTAAAGATTAATTATGTAGATGTATGCACCATATATGATTAAATTACAATTAGTGGTTTTATATGCTCACTCTAGACAGGGATGGGATGAATAACAATGGGAATGGGGAATTGGAAAGATATCCTAAGGTACATCTGATGCTGAGGCTTGTATATAAATGGTACAGTGCCATGTGCTACCGCTGGGTCATTCGGTCTTGTTCCTGTTACTCTTTAACATGAAGTTTTTGGTCATTCGGTCTTGTTCCTGTTACTCTGTGGGTTTTACTTTGTTCCTGTTACTCTTTAACATGAAGTTGTTCATGAAGTATAACTTCATGAACAAGGAACTGAGCTTGACTGGTGTGGCCTTCAATCAGGATCCGTTTCCTATTTTAAAGGAAAATCAGACCAATCAGTAAAATGAAGGGATTGCTGAAATGCTAAATACTTTTACTCACAAAACCACCCTTCACTTAATAATTGATTGGCTGTAATTAAGCAAAATGGGAGCTGATCAATGATTTGATTTAGATTTAATATGAAGAATTGAATTGGCTTTGTCAGTGTTAAATACAGAAGGCTCTGCAAACTTTAGATTTGATTGTATTTTTAAAGAGTTTAAACTTTCGAGAATGAATGTTTCCTTATATGTGACCTTGTGTTGGACTGGTGAACTGCCCAGAGTACCTGCTGCCTGCTGGGATTAGCTCTAGCTCACACTCTTAATAAAAAAAAGCAAAAAGATGAATAAATATTGTCATTTTACTTTGTTACTGAAAACCCAGTGACATCTCAGAAAGGTCCCCCAACTGGATGCCAGCACTTTTAGTGTTCTATTTAGAGACAGCAAATTACATTTGGCACATGCATTTGAATAGTAATTATGATGGTTGGCAGAATTATTACAGACCAACAAACACATTTTCTTGTTTATTTCCCTGTAGGTGTTTCTCCTTGTTAAGCGTGAGGCAGGAACAAGTTAAATTCAGGTCCAGAATTAGCTGCTGCTGAGTGAGTCACCATCCTCTCCTTGTCAGCAGTTAATCACTGTAGCGTGGCATCACCTATTATTACTGCCACTGATGCTGGAGCAGATACACCCTCTGTCTCATTCAACCCCCCAATGAACATATCTGCCTGCCGGTCAGGGGCGGACTGTCTGAGTGTGTGTGTGTGTGTGTGTGTGTGTGTGTGTGCGTGTCTGTCGGAAGTTTCGCAATTAGGAAACCTGACAATCTCAAAATATAGAGATTTATTTTTCTGGATGTGTCGAGACAGACACAATCACAAAACAATAGTCACCTTCCTAACCCCCACCACCCCAACACACACACACACACACACACACACAAACCTAAAAAATCTATTGTATATGTCAGAGTGATTGTACAGTACAGATTAATCAGAGGCACAGTGACTTTTTTACAGTCCACTAAATTAGGATGGAGACAAGTTAATGCTGCTGTTTTTTTTTTTGAGAGAGTCTTTGAGTGTATTGGTTCCCATACAATTTAAATTACAAATGTAAAAAATGAACACCTTCAAATTTATGTATATCTACAGGGCTGTGCCAAGTGTCAAATACAGTACAAACAACTTAGCAATGAAATAAAAGCATACACAGTCTATGGGGAGCAGTGGTGCTGCACTTAAGGTAAATACACTGTAGAAAAAGTAAGTAAGTACATAAAAAAATATTGTATGACATAATAAATATATTACATTGTGTACAAAATGTAACTTTGGTCCAGAATTATCCAGTAGTACAGAAATGTACAAAAACCCAGCAACACAACAGGATCGTTGACTTCATTTTTAAGCCCCGCCCAGCCACCTTTACACTGTCTTCCTTCACTACACCTATCAATCATCTCTAGGTTTTATTTTCTTCTACCTGGCAGTTCCATCTCCAACATTCTTGATCCTACATATCCTCCAAACCACAACGTCTCCATAACTTTATCCTCAAACTGCTTTTTTTTTTTTTACCGGTCTCATTACAGCCTTCCTGTAGTCCTGCTCACAAATATCACCCCTGAATCTCTCCCCCACCTACTGCAATCTACAGCTTCATCTACCTGCTCCTTCACAGTCTCTTGGTGTTTCTGGGTTGACCTGAGGTGTTTAAACACCTTTGTATTCTCTCTTCTTTCTGCGTCTTTTTTTCCTCTCCTACCCAGCGCCTTACTGCTACCCTCCAAGCTCAATATTTTTAATCAAGACCTATAATCCAATTAAATTGATTATAAAACTATCGTGAAGTGCGATCGCCGTATTCCCTGTTTTGCTTGTTACTGTACCCAGATGTCCCCTGAGACGTGTAGATAATGAGACGAGACAGGGGGGGACTTGCCCGTCTTTTAATGACTGATGGACAGCCCTTGAAGAGGACGCAGCATTTACATGACGAACGAGTCGCACAAATGATTGAGTGTGACATACAAGGCCCCTGTCTACCCAAGCACAGGAGGAGCCACATTTATAACCACACGTCAACAGCTCATATTTGCATCTATTGATTCCTGCACTTCTTCATATTTATCTCTCCATGGCCGTGACAACAATGAGGAATGGTAAAGCGGGACTGCCTGTGTAGTTCTCTGGAACAGTTAACAAGGTATGATTTTCACAGAATGATGAATGGGGAAGCAAGTATATCATTGTGTAATGTTGTAACAAAGAGGACTGTGTTTGAGTCCCAGTCTGTCCATTTATAAGACAAACACAGACATGTTGTAGCTGAGCTGCCAAAGTTAATAACTTTTCTGGTTGTTTTATTGTCTCTAATAGGACAACACTAACAGTCCTTTTGGTGGTTATATGAAGCTGTGTCATTGATTCCCACCATTGATCACTAGGACGTATCATTGTGCGGTGTGTTATTTTTTATTTTTCTTGGGCTTTAGATTATGGCTACTGTGACTGTGGGCTGTGTGAGTGCGATGACGGTTGGTTTGGAGATGCCTGCCAGTTCCAGGAGGAGTGCAAGATTCCAAACAAGAAGAGCAAAGAGCTCTGCAGAAACCCACAGGGAGTAGTGTGCTCCAACAGAGGTAACGCAGTCACACATGAATATGAAAATACACAACAACAACAACAACAGCAACAACTGTCTGCAGGAGACCAACACCCAGCCTCCTGATACACACAACCTGGAATTATATTTTTTTTACAAGAGGTTAATAGGTCAATGTCTTAAACTAGGTCAAATTCGAATGACATCAATTGTCATTCTTATTAATAGTAGATGGCGTTTAATTATAAAGCCCTTAAGGGTGTTGTGGGCAGTGGACAGGTTTCATGTGACCCATTTGACCCAGTACAGTGACCTTGGAGACTTTCCTTTATTACTTTTTTGATTGGTGGCCACACTTTAGTTATTTATAAAAACTGAGACTTTCCTTTATTACTTTTTTGATTAGATTTTCTCTTTTTCAAAAGTTCAAATTGGTGGCCACATTTTAGTTATTTATAAAAAAGTTCTAGAATAAAGAGTTCAGCTATGCTGAATTTTAAGTGTCTTTTTTTGTTTTGCTTTGGGTCATTTTTTTATTTTTTGTTGAAATATTTGAAATGTTTGTTAAATGTTGTTTCTCCTGTTTTTTTTAGCTATTTAAAGAAATCATTAGTTTTTTAATTGCTTTATCCATAACTATTTCTTCCACATATTGACCTATTTTCCTACATTGGCTATTTTTCAGACAATATTTACTTTTATTTACTTGAAGGCAATCTCCGGGCCAGCTATGTCTTGTATTAAAAGAGTCTCATTAGCTTCAGATTGAAAATTAAAATAATAAGTTTATAAAATAAGTTCCCACGTAGATCTGTATGTGCTAGAATTACAGCTAAAATACAGTGAATTAAAATTTTACAGAAAATAAAAATGCTGCATGTAAGAGCATTATTGAGATGAATGAATATTAGGAAAATACACAAATAATTTGAAATACTCCTTAATGTCAAAATCTACGGACAATTTCAGGCAGACACTTTGGTGAGTTTATCCAGCCCTGTTATCAGGCCTCGGCACCTTGAAGACTCTCAGTGTGAGCTGATGTCTCAGGTTGTTCTCCACACACTGACATTCATTTGAACAACCCAGGGCTTAACCTCAGGGTTGCCCTGCAAAGCCTCCGGCTAAATCAAGAACAAACGTGTGTTCGTGCACGTGAATTGGTGTGTTTCCCCGAAAACGTGTACCGTACGGTATGTGGCCTGTTTGAGTGTGTGAAAATGCAAATTTATTCACAGCATGTTGTTGTCTAGCCTTCTTGCCCCGTGGTGCATCTTTTGGAACACACACACTCACACACACACACACACAACCTTTGGTAATCCCTCACCAGTCTAGATCTGGAGACACCTGATGCACAGACAGTGCCTCCAGTTACACAGCTGCACGAATCCCGTCTAACTTATACAGTGAACATCCCATAATCAACAAACTTAACCTCAGTAATCTTTGGCTTCCATTAGACATTATTTATTGTAACCTTGTTAGGAAATTAGAGCGACATGACATTTTATCAAGCTCACCGAGTTATAATAAAGGCAAGTACACTCACTCACACTAGGGTAATCGAACAACGCCCAAGTCCAGATTCAATGGTTAGTTTGAGTGCACGTGTATCGTAAGTACAACCAACTTTCTTAGCACCACACAGTTAAAAGAGGTGTGCTGAAACGCAGACACTCGTGCACAAGCACGGTTAAATCCATCAATCCATCTTCACTGTTTATCAATTCAAACGAAAACCTAACCAATAAAAGAGTTTAAAATGTTTTAAAGTTAGTGCCTTCCCCAGGAACCTGCCACTGTGGTAGCTGCAAGTGTAAGAATGAAGACAACAGAGGTTTGGTGACCGGGCGTTTCTGTGAGTGCGACGACAACGAGTGTCTGGACGAGGACACCGGAGAGGTGTGTGGAGGTACGCCTCAAATTTCCTGTCACACACTCTCACAGTCCCTTCCCCTGAAATCTTTAGTAATGTGATTACACAGTAAATGTGCTAGCCCACCACCTCTGACGCTAAATGACCCAGAGACATGATGAAATGTGTCAACCAGCAGCAATCGAATGACCCTGCGGGTTCTGATCTGCTTCCAGGCCATGGCCAGTGTTACTGTGGCAACTGTTACTGTGCTGCCGGTTGGCATGGAGACAAGTGTGAATTCCAGTGTGACATCAGCCCATGGGAGAGCAAGCGGAGATGCACATCACCAGATGGCAAAATTTGCAGCAACAGAGGTCTGTTCACCTTCAAGGAGGAAAGACATCAGGGGAAAAAAGAAGAAATGAAATAAATAGGTTTTTTTTATCAAAGAAATACATGTGAACTAAGTCAATACAAAATAATTATATTCCAACTATAATTTACTAAATTAACATTTTGAAATTCATCTCAATCATTGGAAACAAAAGAGCACAACAGCTGGACAGGAAGTAGACACTGTGTGTAACTGACAGATGAACTGTCCAATAGGAGCGTGGCTGCAGGAAAGGTTTACAAACATAATCCACCTTTATATGTGTATGTTCCTCTAAACAGTATTGAAAATGTCAAAATGACCACACGGTTTATTGATTAAGACCCAAATTAAAGGTTAAGGATGATGAACTCTTCAGTTGTTGATAAGATATACTAGAAGGAAGTAATTCAGCATTTCCAAAGACATCAGATGATGACACAGCTCCATATTTACTTTCTATAAATTGGACAAAGATTCTTCTGTAGTTACTATTTTCACAGCAATGTCAAAAAAACTGCTTCTCTAAGCTGTCAAGAGAGAGCCAAAAACAAACTGTTCCTGGAGCAATGAGGAATTCCAAAAGAACAATGTGAATCTTTTCTTATAATTTTGACATATAAATACATACCTTTTTTCAATCGTCTAATTGAAATTTTGGCATATGTTCCAACAGCAATTAAACGTTGGCAGTTCCAAACACAGTGCATTAAAAACAAAGCAAATAGAAGCAATTCAACTAACCCTGGAAGACAAAACTTGCATAGAACTTCACTGAATGTGTCATATCAAGATCTCAATCCTCAAGTTTCTATTGTCAGATTGGACCTTAAAAGAAAATCTAGCATTTTTTTCTGACCCTATTTATTATGTTATGACCCTAACATAAATGACATGACATTTTTTGGGGGGCGGGGGTGACATCGTGCACATACGATTCCTTCTGCACCATGAATTGACCTGTTGTACTGCAACTGTTGCTAACAGCCATAGCTAGTTACCTTTACCTCAGGGACCATGTGGGGACATGGAAACTTGGAGGCTGTTGACACGTTCTATCCAACTTTAAGATATTTTAAAATATAAATATATTTTTCTCTTGATACAATAATGGACAATTCTAAAATGTTTAATTAGTATGTTAAAGAAGAACATAAGAGAAAAAGACAACACACAATGGTTTTAATTCCCTAAAGGCTTATGTAAATTCCCATGAAAGTCATCAGAGGTTAGTGGACAGGCATTCAGGGAAATGGCTTGGCTAACCTCGCTCAAGTGATCCAGTGGGATTTCACTAAAGCTCTCTAAAATTAATTACAGTGGACTGGCTGAGGGCTGGCTAAGTGGCAAGGCTAAATGGTAGGCTGCATGGACAGAGTCTGATGGCAGAAGCGGCAATTTGTTGTTAAGTGCACAGCTGATGCAGCACGAACGAGGAGCGTCTGTGTTTGGGGTGGAACAGCCCATTGTTTCCCTCTTTGGGGGAGAAGAGCGCAGACAAAAGAGCTGACAATCCACACACACAAAAGTGTTCTGGTCTGGTCACAAAAATATGTATTTATCTTCACAAATCCCACTTTTGAAAAAAAAATTGTACTAGTTTCCTAATGTTAGCAAAACAGTGACCCATCACTTGTGAAATGACATGTGAAACAATAGGAAAGGGAACAAAAAAAATGAAATATTGAAATTACAAACTAATTTAGAAGTAATAACTGAAAAAACAAGGAGGTTAAAGACCAATCTGGACTGCAGGCCGGCCAGTTAAAATCATACACCGGTGTGTTTTGCACCAGGTCACAAATATGAATGGAAGCCAGCTGTTTTAAAATATGTTTCAATGTCCTTCTCTTTTCTCATTTTTAATGCAGGAAAAAAATAGAGAGATAGCGATTAAAACCAAGTTCCGTTAAGATTTGTTGATGACAAATCTGATCAAATAAATGTAACACTCAACGTTTGACAAAGATCTAATGATAAAACTAAGAGACGTATCTGCACAGGATTTTGATTTTTAAACCAAACACATTTGAAATCAAAAGGTAATTTTAAGTTATTTTCAACTGGCCTTATACTGTGTAACTGAGTGCTGGTCTACAGGCTTCAGTAATAATAAAATAATACGAAATAGTTTTCCCGACAGTGGTCTGGTTTTAATTTATGGAAACAAACATGATCCCCCCCCCCATTCTACATTGTTCCTAATCTGATGATTAATTATGCACCTTCCCATGTGGCTCTGGTTACCGTCAGCAACACAGATCACTGTTCACACTCTACATTCAGTCCCAGTTTGGTAGACATTTGTCTTGAAATGCAAATGTCTTTTTATTCAAATGCCAAACACATTCCACCAGAGACAGTTTGTTACTGATTAAAACGAGAACCGTTCCCATCTCCGCCCCATGTGGAATGGAACCACTTTGTTGTTGCATTAATCTTCTTTAAAGTGATTCCTGGTCATAAGATTCGATGAATTCAACAAGAGTGTAAATCAGAGTCTGTCATCCTGTATAGATACGGTGATGTATAGAAGAGACCTCGTGTCACAGACGCCTCCTTTTCGGCTTTTTTTTTTTTTTTTTTGCTTTTCTTCTTAGCTCGGCTCAGAAATAACCTTTATCTCCTGCTCACAGTCAGAAATTAATGAGAGTCTGATTTGGCTGACAGTGTCAACCCACACAGAACAACTCTGGTTCATTCCAGCAGCCCCTCGTCTGTGCGGTTCACCTCTCCTTCTCCGCTGAGCTATAATACTGTGACCGGGCATGTTGTCAAAGTAATAACATCAGCTGGAAGCTAAATCCGTGTGTCTATATTTATTATTTTTGGTTGAAAACAGTTTTACTGCAACCAAAATATGATTGTTTGTGGCAGATAAGAAGAGAGTAAAGCCTGGCTTCACAGAGACACAACCATATAACATAAAGAAAAGCTAATTTTTAAAGATGCTATAGAGAATTTTGAGCATTTAGGGCTGGTGAAACTCAAAATGTGTTTTTAAAAAAAAAAAAAAACTTCCTGAAAGTGAGCGCCATCTTAAAACACAGTGCTCCAGGCTTTTGAGATTGCGAGGGAGACTAAACCTTCTGCCAGGGGCCGGACACGATCCAGACTCAGCCCACAGACCTGCCAGCTGGACCGGGCCCCCTGGGGTTCCCCCTGCTCTGTCGCTGCTGATAAGAGAAAATGGGATTTCCACTGGCTGCAGCAGCGAGAGCCAAGATGTAAAAACAAATGAAAAAAGAGTGTCAGAAAAGCAGATGCAGAGATAGAGAGAGGAGATGAGAGACAGATGGAGGGAGCTTATTAACACAGCTTGCTGCTTACTTTGATTAAAGTGGGAAAATATATTGTTCAACATCTAGTTACGCTGGGAAAGTGTCACATCCATAGTATTTGTTGCGTCCAGAATGCGGCTTAAATGTACCTCTTGCAGGTGTTAACTTATGTGTGTGTTTTTGTTAGGAACCTGTGTGTGTGGTGAGTGTACCTGCTACGACGTAGATCCCTCTGGAGACTGGGGAGACATTCACGGAGACACCTGCGAGTGCGACGAGAGGAACTGCCATGCGACATATGACCGATACACCGATGACTTCTGCTCAGGTTAGCACAATCTAATCAAACACATGGACACACTCTTATAAACATACAGTATTTTTATAGTTCTGTTAATCAGTTCAGGACAAAAAGTGAAACCTTTCATTCTTTGTTCATAAGAAAAAACTGTTTTACCTAAATATCTAGAATATCTAGAATCTAGAAATGATCTAAAGTAAGGCAAAAGATACAGGCAGTTTTGAAATAATAAAAGTCTCTTGACTGTGAGGCAAAAACACCTCCAAAAGCTTAAAAAAAGTAGTTTCCTGCCTCACATTTTCCAGTAAGATGTTGCAAAATTATACAATTTCTATTTTTCAGACAAATTGAGATCAATGCATTTAAAATACGGTTATTTTAAATCCTTTTTGCCTGTTCACCTAATCCAGTACTTCTCAAATTCAGGGTGCGCAATGAGGTGCCATGGGGGGGGGGGGGGGTGAAGGGCTTCCAGTGGAATATGGCACACTAGACATAAGTGTACCACTGCTGTAATGATTGAATGATAACAAGCCTCCAGTCACTAGGTGGCAGCAACTCATACAGTTGTTTGTACAGATAAAAAAATATACATGTTATCAGGCTCTCAGTAGTATTTCAATTCGTTGGGTATGGGTCAGGGTGGGTGCATGAAAACTTTTCTGTCCTCAAGGTGGCGGTGGGGCATGATAGAAAATATTTAAGAACCACTGACCTTATCTAACATTTTAGCTTTCGAGATTTAATCTCATTCTTCAAAGGCACCAATTAGTATATATTTTTTAAATCTTCACATTTTGTCAACTCTATTCTTTTCTCCTGCTGTTTCTAAAGGCCATGGTCAGTGTAACTGTGGCAGGTGTGACTGTAGAGAAGGATGGGCTGGGAGAAAGTGTGAACATCCTCTGTCCTGCTCGCTGTCTCTGGAGAGCAGTCTGAAGAAGTGTCGAGGAACGTCCAATTTGCCCTGCTTCGGACGAGGTACCCGCTCTTTCCATTTGATTCAGTTGCCATGGTTACCGCAGCAGACCTGTGCTCTCTGCTCTTCACCTCTCCGTGTAAAATAGGCCATTTCCAGGCCATCCCATAATCTATCCATAAAGACTGAAGGCTGCCCCGGTGTGACAGTATCTTTATCTAAGTCATGACCTAGAAAAGGAGGCACTCAACACTTCATTTGTGTTACAGAGGTGTGTGTATTTAACATGACAGCTTTTTAAGGTATGTGTGTGTGTGTGTGTGTGTGTGTGTGTGAATCTTCTACAGAGTGACATGTGTGGCTGTTGCTGTGCAAAAACAGGTCTGTTCACTGATGCCATAGGACACAAAAAAAGCTCTCTCCGCGGTGTCACCTCTGGATCTGAGTGAATCGGAATTCTCTGAGCTCCTATTGAAGCCTAATTGCCACACTTCAAAAATCATTTTAAACTCTTTATTTATTTATATGTTTGTTTATTTATTTTTTCATTCATTTCACCACAGATTTAGAAAGCTTAGCGTCACATGGTTTGTGTACAGTTTACCTCTGATCATCCTAAGTGGTGACACATGACTAGAATGGAAACATGTTTATTTGTATTACACACTGTCCTCTATGCATGACTTTTACATGTCATTTATCTTAGTTCAGACGAACTCTCTATCTATCTACTCCTGACCCGGCCCCCTGTTCAATTTTAAGGAACAATTGTGGCCTACCAGTCAAACAGTTTGCCAAGGCCTGCTCTGTACTAACACTAACATTTTAACATTTTATATCAAGGTGCTGCACACTCCATTGTTCAAGTCAACTCCAGCCCTCTATTGTTCTAGTTTTCTGGGGAATACCTGTCAAAGTGATGGGACTTCAGGGGGTAAAAAACAGGACCATTAAAGTCTGCTGCATTGTGCTGCTCTCACACAGATCCAGCCTCAGTGACAACAGTGACACAACCTGTGTGGTTTCAGGGCTGTGCAGTTTTATCAAGGGTTAATGCCAGGCATTGATTTCCTGTTTTATTCGACTGTGGAGGAAAACCACTGGGGAGCCCTCAACCTTTCAAATGCTGCTTTGTTTCCAGAAAAGAAGAGAGGAAATGTGGGACACATGTCCTTTTATATCGGTCATTATTATCCCTTTAAACTTTTTCTTTTACTGTGATAGCTACACAGCAGAATGGAGAGCAGTGAACCACAGAGACGGGGTTTGAGTCAACATCACCACTGACCCACGGAGAAGCAACGTTTGTCTGGTTTTAAAATAGAACCAATTTGGTTTTGCGTTGAATGCATCAACTCTTCATTACATATTGGGCTTCAAACCAATTCCACAGTAACAGGGTTGAGCAGGCACCGAGCTTTCTCCCTCTTTATAATGAAACTGCCAAGATTAACTTGTGCCGAGAAAGTTAATTAGCTTAAATTCCTCCTGCAGTACCTTTAAATTATCTCCAATTGCTGCGACAGAATGGAACTTTAAATTACCCCGTGCAGAGGAACAATAGTTCCTTAAAAGGCATTCATACATTTCTGTCAATAAAAAATAGCCTCTTTTTAAGCCGTTGCTGCCTCTAAGATTTAGTGAAATATGATTTTGTCTTCAAGAAACACAATGATAAATAAATATGCTTTCAATGCTATTTACTTAATTTAATTAGTTGCTGTTTGATTTAATTTGTTTAATATAAGGAACAACGGTCAAGCAAGTGGAACCAGAGCATTTTTCTGCCAGTTATTACCTACTACAGAATCTCTGGCTTTAAAATTAAACCTAAAGTTTTTGTTTACCTTGCTGTACACACGTGCATGATTTCATTTAAAAATATTACAGACCCTGACGTCGCTCACTTCATTTAAGGTTAACTGCAAAAAATAAATAAATAAAAAAAAAGGGGCTTTTTACAGCAAGGCTGTGGGCAAATGGCTATAGATCTGAAGGTAAGAGAAGAAATACAGAGAGAGTTTTGTTGGAAACACAATGAAGGGAGACAGGAAGCAAAGGTGGGAGAGTAGGAGAGAAAGTAAGAGAAAAAGTGAAGGAGACAGATGTAGAAAATCACTTAGACATGGATGAATGCAGCTGGTACAGATGGCAGCCAGAGTGGAAAAGCCTTGTGATGTGAAAAAAAAAAAAAAAAAGAGCTACAGAGTTCTCCTTCCTGAAGGGTGGAGCTAAGACATCTGAGGGAGTGCACATTCTTTACACTGTGGTATTTCCTTTAAGGAAACACCTGCTTTCAACATTTTACTGCTGATTCTGAGGATTCCACTCTCTGGTTTCTGACTAAATCAAAAAGGCAGTAACGGACAGTTAGGGCCACACGAACGCACCGTGGGATATTAGAGGCAAAAGTTGACTGATTTTCTATCATGTATTCCTTTTTCAGTATTGCAGTTCACTCTGAGTGAGAATATTAAACTGGACGGCTCACTAGTTCAGTCCAGGACCACAGCTTAGGGTCCTAGTTTTTAAACCATCCAGGTGTTTTCATCCTAACATGTTGAAAAGTAGGTAACTGGAATGGCTTGGTTTCTTTCAAGGCTCACGACCGTCTTATTCATTTTGACCCTGTTAAAATCCGTCATCCGTCATTTTTCTTAACTAAAGTTCAGTGGAATTTTCCAGCAATGGCTGTGACTGCGTCGTCGTGTGTGGGTTGACAGTAGTGTTAGCCACAAGAGAAGAACTGCAGAATAGCAAGAGCACCAACCACCAACAATCATCCAGCAGCAAAAGTTCAGCTCATTTTTATGCAGAAGGTAAATGTTAAAGACACTGTAACATAAATTACAAAATCATTTTAACCTTTAGGGAAATGAAAATAAATAACCTGAAGTGAAGTTGTATTAAAAAAAGGGACTTATTTCACATTTCTTTTGTCTGACAAATGTGCAAAACCCTTTCTACAACACTGTGTACCACATATAAATATATATTTGACAGAACAGTTGTTTTATTTCATACATTATGACACGTGTGTGTGATATTTGCAAACCTAATGTACTATACAAATACTGTGATACTACATATAAGTAAGCTAAATTATTAGTCACATTGGGGGAACATTTCCAAAAACTAAGTACAGATAGCCAACAGTTTTTAGTCTGTGACCCCATTTTGACATTACAAACTGGTGACTCTGGAGACATTTTTGTAGCTGTCACTTCATGTGACACAGTCATGTGACCACAGCCAATATTTTTATATACTGCATTTTATTAGAACCCAATTTTTGTCCATGGAAGTGAACAATGCAGATGCATATGATTGTGTGGTGTTTTAATCATATCATTTTAAAATTAATAATACATAGTTAGTCATTTTTTAATCAGTTATGATATTTCAGCCATGATATGGGTCTGTGACCTCAGGGTTGAAAAACACTGAGCTAGAGAATTAACTTAAATAAAGTATAAATTACCTGGATATTGGTTTAAAAAGCTAAAGGACAAAAATTATATGACACATTTAGAAATAATTGCGTTAACAGTAACAGTTTTACTCACATGTTTTTCAGAAATCTGTGGTCCAACACAAAATTGTCCAACTGTCCCCTCAGTGCCAGACTGTGGACATAACACCATTCTGTTTCTCTAACAGACAAGGAAAAAATAAATAAATAAATCTTAGAGGAGATGTAAGGTTCAGAGAATTTATAGCTTCAGTTCATACTCCAGTCCAATCTGTGTAGATTTACTTAAGACACACATGAAGACATTGACATGGAAGTTCCGGTTCAGTTTTGGACACAAATATTGGCTCATCTGTCTTACCTCAGTGAATTACTGACAGTCTGGACTGAAGAGTCAGACATTCACACTGAAATGGCCATCAACACAGCTCAACGACAGGATGACAAACAGCAACGCACCAAAACGCACACATGCATAAAGTAGGTGTGACAACAGGGATAATCAATAAGACAGGCTGTGATGACATCACTGGTTGCTGGGGTAACTGCCTCCCCAGAGCAGAAGGACAAGAGCTGGAGGATTGGTGGCTCTGTGTGTGTGTGTGTGTGTGTGTGTGTGTGTGTGTGTGCAGTCATAAAAAGTGACAGAGATGTGACATAAACAACATATTAGATTATGCTGCCAGTCAAGCGTCTGTCTCGTAAATTCATGTTTGGTACAATTTATGGAACCTAATTCCACTTGGTGAGTCATGGACAGATAAAAGCATGCAGCCCCAATACACACGCACTAACACACACACACACACACACACACACACACACACACACAGAGACTTCTATTATGGACATGTGTTTTAGTGGCAATAGATAGGTGTTATTCAGTGGCACTAATCAGAAAGACTCTCAGGAGTGCAAACTGGGAAACAAACCTGGGAAATATACTTTTGACAATAAGGACTCACTGTGTTTAAAAAAAACAAGAGGGAATGAGAAAAAGAGAGGGACTTTGTTTTAAAACAAACTATTGATAATGATTCAGAATTTCCTTGTGTAATTATTTCTTCAAATGGAAAAGTGACAGATTGCCTTGAAGTTTTCCAGTTATGGACAACAGTTAAATTGTGGATTTTATTTTGTTTTGTTGTTTTTTTTCCATTTCCCACTAAGACAAGACAAAGCATCTTAACAACAGAGACTTACAGTAGACCACCAAAGCTGCCTGTATTTATGGGTTGGTGCCACGGACCATGTGTACAAAAACCTATTTTTGAATAAATCCTCCTCTTTAAAGTAATACAAGAAATAATGGTGAAAAGGGAAAGATAAAAAATGGCAGTAAAATCAGAATAAGTTGCTATAAAACGGAGCTCAGGTTGAAGTAAATGTCTGTGTTTATTCACAGGTCAGTGTCTGTGTGGAGAGTGCACCTGTCATCCACCTGGGGACAGTCGTGTTTATGGCAAAAACTGTGAGTGTGATGACCGTCAGTGTGAGGACATCAGTGGAGAGGTCTGTGGAGGTAAGAACACACACACACACACACACACACACACACACACACACACACTCAAACAAATATTTTTAGTTTGCTTTTAGGAGAGAGCAAAGAACTATGGGAGCAGCCACAGCATATTTAAAACATTAGGGCACCAGATGAAATCACAAGAATAAAAAGCAATGAAAGCACAAACAGTAACATACAGAGCCTCCAACTAATACTTGTGTATGTTCCTCTGAGTCCCCACTATAACAGTATTAAAACAATGTACCCACATATATACATATATATATAGCTATACAAAGATCTTTTCACACACAGAAGCTCAAACCTCATGTTCAGACACTGTCTACAGACCTCATATTTACAAACACTGGTTCAAAGTGGCAAAAGGAAAAATATGACAATAATAGGGCGATAACTTTGGGGCTGTAGTATTTTCTACAGATGGTGCAATGCAGCAGTTAAGGCTAAATGACTCCTTTAACAAAAGGCCTATGCAGTATTTATGTGAATGGAATACTGGGCCATCGGGAGAAATACTTCATGAGACTTCTGGGAGAACTCGTCTCAGTGTCTTGAGCAGGAATTCATTGCAGGGTAACATACACATTCAAAGACACACAGGCTCACTGTCAGGCAGTGCCTGGAATTTAGGTTTGTTTGCTCACACGTCTATGGAAGCTACGGGGAAGGGGAAGGGGGAGAGAGAGAGAGAGAGAGAAAGAGAGAGAGAGAGAGAGAGAGAGAGAGAGAGATCCTCCGAAGTGAGGAGATTAGTTAGAGGAGACATTTTATAGGGAAGGAGCTGTTAAAAAAAACCAACTCCTGGGTACAGTCTGTGCCCGTGGATGTTTGAGACTCGACAACAGAAGTCAGAGAACTGATAAATGACACAGCACCCGTGATAGAGTCCTTCAGTACTAACCAGGTTTACAGTTAGTTCAGTTTACCCTTGACTCTGGAGTATTTTCAACACATCATCAAAAAATGAAAGGGGCGAGAGAAACAGAAGATGGAAACTTCCCTTCACATATATAGGAATTTTAAGTAAAACCACAAGGCAATGAATGTGACTTTGTATTTTAAGTTAGACTTGGAAGTTCAGTTAGCTCTACTGTAGTACTGCAGCAATACTGCTGATCAGATTTATATAAAAGAAATTAAAAAGAAAACACAGGGGGGAGCTGGAATTAACTTTTGGATGTTTTAGTCTGTCCCAGTACTTTACTTTAAACCTAACTATTACTAATATTTATCTAATACTAATTACTGTAATTAGTTACTAATTAATTACTGCAAAATCCTGACGAGAAAGTGATGTCCCCACATTGTCAGTATTTCAACAATGTCCCCACATGTACAGCTATACAAAGCTCTCTCTCTCTCTTACACACACACGCGCGAAATTCATGTTTATATGCTGTATAAGGACATCATTTTTACACATATGGGTTCAGGGTATGGGTTCAGGGAGGCAAAATAATATATATATATATATCTATATATATAGATATAATATATATAAAACTTTTCATATAAAACATGTGTTTTTGGCCTAAAAATCCCCTCAGTCACCATCTCAAACACCACCTGCGCACCAGCAAAGGTTCAATTCCCCGTCACAGTTCATACTCAGTGAATGGCAGGTGTGGAATAATTAAACAAGGGCCACGGTCGCCTTTCTTCCAAAGCAATTAGCCGCTCTCACAGTCTCACTGATTGAGGCAGTCAGGCGTGGCTAGCCTTAGCTGCCATATCATTTATACACCGACATCGCAGCAGCCAAACACAGTCTACACAACGATTGATAAAAACCTCAGACAACAGAGTGAGCGGTGAGGCCCAGATCATGTGATGTACCAAAAACTTACAAATCAACTCCTTCCTTACTTATTTCCTAAGAGTAATTACTTTAGTGCTTGATATAATGTGCCAACATGAAAAACAACAAATCTTTGTTTGTAGGAGTTTGCTTCAAAACTTCTTTTTTTTTCAGTACTGGGACCCACTTAAAAAAAAGAAACAACCATGACCTAGTTTTGCAACCAAAATAATTGTGATTAATGATTCTCTCAAGAAAATTAAAAAAATATATTTTTGAATTTGGGTTGTATCTAAAAGCTTTATGGAGTGGTCATAGTTCATATCTAGAGAGAAACTAATGTTACATGGAAACAAATGTTAGCAGCTATGTGTTGACACAGCAATGAAACGGCAAAATACTGAGACTAAACTGTACAACAGTATCCGGTTTACTTTATCGATTTTCTATGCATTTTTTATGGTTGTTAAATACTAAATATAAGCCTAAATAAAAGGCCAAAATGTTCATCCATTTATCCCATCAGTAAAGACTACTCGATTCAGTCTTTGGGAATCAGTGACAGTAATGTGCTCAGGATTTAGAAGGAAGGGCCTTATATTACATGGAAGGCTATTCAGGCTATTAGCTTTTCTCAAAGTGGTGAGTGCAAATTATTTTTAATAATATATATTTAATGATTTCCCATGCCTGTATATCTGTATGTTTAATTGATTCCCTGAACATGTCTGATGCTGGAAGCTGACATGGAGCTGGAGCACGGATCGAACCTCTGCTTGACTTAATCAATACATCTCCATCAGGCACATCACAGCGACGCCGTATGGATCCGCCCTGATGACGGAAATGATGGAAATACGGCCTTTCCATCATTTCTAGTTGGCATGTGTTGCTAAAAGTGAACGTGAAGGATTGATCAGAGATGCAGATGGGCGTTGGGTGATTTACATCGTTGTGAGACCACGGTGACGGCCGGGTGGAGATGAAGAGGACACGAGTGTTGTAGCCGTTGTTAAAAGCACAGCCGGGCTGTCAGCCATTAAAGTCTCTTCAGAACCAAACTCTCTCTTTCAACCAATTAAATGTCCCTGATTTTTTTTTCTCTGTTTGTTTTGGTTCTCTCCCTCTCTCCCTCTCTGAAGTGCTGGAGTCATATTAGGGCCAGGACAAACCAGTGATGACAGTTCCTTTCATGTCTCTTGTTCTCCACGCCTGCCCTGTCTCTCTGATCTTGCCGTCACTCCATCTGCTTGTAGCGCCTATTAGTGTCAAAGTTCATTGTTTGTACTGTCGGCTCCCTATGTTTTGATGTCCTTTATAGCTGTTTTGTTGCTCTGCAATCGGCATCTTTCCTCACTTTTCCCCACGGAGTGTTTTTTAAATTCATACTCTCCCCTCTCCGTGTACTTCCTCTTTCTCATGGACCTGCTCCATATTCTGTCTCCTCTAAATGAAGGCCCTTCTGCCCTCCACCACCAGGTCACGGTTACTGTTCATGTGGACGGTGCATCTGCGAAGACGGCTGGTTTGGGAAGCTGTGCCAGTTCCCCAGGTCATGTGACATGAGCGATTCCCAGAGCAGGGAGCTTTGTGAGATCCCTGATGGAGTCATCTGCAGTGGAAAAGGTGAGTCATCAATTATTAATCCAACTTCAGAAAGTTCTGCAGGTAAAATTGCAATCTGAATAATCATAGGATAGCTGCAGATTAATCAGGATTAACTGTGATTGTTACTTATTACAATTAATCATGATTAATTGAGATAAATTGACATGCAAAAATGTAACTTTTCTTTTTGTACTTTGCTGGAACAGTAAGCCAAAAAACAGCAGGTAGGTGTATGTGTTTCACACCTGTTTTTAGTCATGACTAATCCAAGTGATGGGATAATAATGTAAAAAATGTCAAAAAAAAAAAATTAAAAAAAAATGCAAAAGTAGAACTGACTGCTCCACAGAGTTGGTGGGTTTAACTTTCTACATCTTGACGGGGGCTTGTAGAATGAGGTCCAAAGTTGATTTGGAACCTAGGAAAAGTTTTTGTCCTCAACAATACTAATCAGAAAAAAATTAAAAAAAAATCATTTGTCAGTTGTGTCAGTCAGCTTGTCGGCTGTTGTCTTAATTACTGCCTCACTGAGCTGTCTCACTTAACACTGAAGCCCCCACAAACACCTGCTGGGGGTAGAGGTGGTATTTTCACCCCAAAATGCTTCAGTGAAACCAAAATCTTTTCTCACAGTGTGTGCAAATGACAGAACAGAAGGTGGACACGTTGGAATTACTGGATTCTTCCTGTGTGTTGAAATGCCATAAATTTAAATAATTTCTAATTAAATATTCCTTAATAGACTCTAGATTAGTTATGATAAATAATATTAATACAATTTGGCAGTTGAATAATGAAACATAACATCTTCCCCACATCTTTTTAAACCATTTACCAATATAACTGCTACATATAACAGCCTGTAAAGTTGGGAAATTAGACCTACATGTATAAAACACACATTATTGATCTACACTACAGTATATTACCAGGTATACTAATATCTGATCTGAGAAGTATTTTCATGACTTATATATTTCATATCTGACACATTTCAAAATAGAAATACAGTAAAATAGAAATGAAATATAATTAAAATATACCACTTAATTTAGTTAGTTAAAATAAATTTAAGTAAAATAAAATACCACATCAGATAGTCAACAGTTGGTTGATGAATAGTTTCTTACCTCTCGACGGGGAACAATGGGCTGCAACTTATCACAAAAACAGCTCTCCTTTCTCGTGCACAAAGACAAATTAGATGAAAGAGTTAGCAACAATCGCACAAAAATAAATGTCAAAAATGTGAAAACATGAAAGAAACACTGATGGTAATCAACACTTCATTCAGGGTGTGTGTGTGTGTGTGTGTTTGCGTCACAGGTTCCTGTCACTGTGGCCGGTGTATCTGCTCTCCTCAAGACTGGTGGGTTTCTGGAGAATACTGCGAGTGTGACGACCGGGACTGTGACAAACACGACGGCCTCATCTGCACTGGTAATATCAGAGGAGAACAAAGACTGGAGGTGTTACTGTTATAAATGACCTGTGTATATTTTATATATATTGTATATATTTTTTTCAGAACCCATTCCCATTCCTNNNAGAATCTGGTGTTCTGTGAGAGAAAGCCTACGATTTAATTGACACAAACACAGACACACACACACGCTGCTCTGCACAACCGTTTATCCACAGGAGCCGTCGTCTCCCCACTGATAATGGAAATCTCTGTGCATGTTTATAATTATTTATGCCCCGGGGCCTGTCAAAATCTGGACAGCTGTTCAAAAGTGTTTCTAGTCGTGACTCTCGCATCCCCAAATGTCAGCCTTAATGTCACTGAAAGGCTCATCAGTGGTAACACACGCATACAGACGGTACTTACAGCTGTGGAGGAAAAACAAAGGGTGCGTATGAATATAAAAGAATTCCAATGACGATGACTGACGACAGGGAAAATGTGGGAATGAAACGCAGCTCAATATTTTAGCACCGTGAACATTATCGTAATTTGGTGCTGATACGTTAAAGATCAATTTCCTTCATGCTGCGATTTGGAGCTATATATATTATATTCATCATTACCGACATCCACCCAAAGCAAATTGAAAGTCTTCAGATATCAATTGAATGTAGATAATAAAAAATAATATAATAAAAAAAAAAAAAACCTAATCTACAGTATGATGGACTGATGAGCACTCTAAAGCTGAGAGCCGAGTTAGTTAGTTTACAGAGCCGGTGAATGCCCAGGGCAACATATCTCACCCAAACCCCGTGGAGAAACTGCACCGAGGGGGAGAGGCTGGGTGTGAAAAGAGGAACCTTGTTAAAGGTCAGACATGATGGCACAGCTCTTTTCATTCTCAGCTTTTCTTCTCACATCTCCTCACAGGGAATGGTGTGTGCAATTGTGGCAACTGCGAGTGCTGGAATGGCTGGACAGGGAACGCTTGTGAAATCTGGGTGGGAACGGACTACTGAGGAAAAATGGCTGCTGGATATTAGAGACAAGAGACCTGGCTGCCTGGAGCGACCAGGAGCAACACCGCAGCCTGACAACAACGAGAGGAAGCAGAACGTATACAGAGAAATCAATTTATTTTGTTTATCACTAACAATACTCATGTAGTAGAAATGATTCAGGTTATAACTGGACTTTGGTTTAAAATAAAATTAAACAAAAAACAACTGTTTAACCCATTCCACAGTCTGAATCTGTTTTCAAACAGCTACATGATTCTTTTTTAATAATTGATGAAGGATAAATATTAACTATGGGATCCAAACAAAAAATAAATAAACAAAACTAAAATCTAAAATTACCCATTGCAGTTAAACCCCAAGGCTAAACAACAAACGAAAGTTTGTCCTTGTTTACTTTTAGTGTATGGTTATTACTATGTATACTTTTTTTGTAGAATAATATATGTCGCATAAATAAACACTATAAATATTATTGCTCAAAAAACAGATTTTCTTTTGACTGCTAACAGAAAAACCATTTAAATTTGATAAATAATTAAATATATTTGATAAACATGAAACTATTGAACAATATATTTCAGTCAACTAAATCTAATTGAAGTTACAATTAAGTAAAACAAAAACTAGCAGTAAATCAATTCTGTTTTGCATAAAAATCAAAACAGTTTTGACTCAAAGCTTTGTGTTTTAGGTTTTTATTTCTTTTAATAATAAAACATTAAATGTGCCGCATGACACAACATTTGCATGGAAAACAATGCTAAGACCTTAATCATACATGGTTACAAATTTGTTATAACATGACATAACTCCAATGGGCATACTTGCAACGGTATATTTATATATATATATATATATTATTTTTTTTTGTTGAAAATAAACTGTTTTATTAAATGTCTATCATCTGCCAGGTGACTCAAACCAAACAATCTGCCATTGATAAAAACCCACACTTGTACTGAAGGTACGTTAATGGACGTTTCTCCTGCTCAGACTAGTGACAAGTGACGATAAATCAAGTAAAAGGGCATACATAGTTTAGACTGTGGCATGCTGGATATCCAGGTCACTTCGTAAGGTGGCATCAGGGGATGAGAGCTGCATCGACACAGGAGCTCAGTCACCACTTGGATACAAGGGCCAATAGGAGGTCAAAGAAAAAAATTGATGTCAATTCTACTTTGGCCTTTTTCATGCTTATAAACGAGCCAACGCCTTTCGCTTGGTACTTTCCTGACCCATCGAAAAAGGACAGGTGCAATAATATACTGCACTCGATATTGCATTAAGTATGTTACTGACATTACAGTACACCTTTATATAAATATTTTACTCAATATGTTGTATATGTGTATACAACGAAACACAAACTGTATAGTGTAGACAAACGCGTTGCATATATGTATGTAAAATTTAGCGGTACATACCAACAGTTCTCGATAGACATAGCCTACTACATGCAGTTCATCGATGCCATCCTTTCCCCATGCAACAGATGGGAGACGGAAATTAACAAAAATGAAATAAAGAGTTTGGAAAGTGAAATAAATTTGTGTGCCACAGAGAGGGAGCACAAAGGCAGACGTGATGGGGCTTTGGAGACGACATCACACGTGACCCGTATATGAGGGAAAATTAAGACAAACAAACAACAACGAGAAAAAAGAAAAGAAAACCAGTACAGTGACTACAGAGACCCCAACAAAGAAGTACATTTACACACTGGTCATTTACAAAAATAAAATCAGCCTCCAAGGATCCATTTGACCAAACTGCAGGGTTGGAGCAGCAGCCAGCCCAGCATGTAGAGTTTGTTAAGAGCGGAGGATGACTGGATGTAATGAGGACAGAACACCGGCCTCAGATACTGAAGTGCAGCGTCAGCCCCTGTGTACAGTTACACCGCTTTGTTACAGTATGTCACCACAGATTTGTACAGACAAATATCAACGTCAAACTGGTGTGCTTTGATGGGCTGTTGTCAGAAATGGCCGTGTGTAATCCCCAAATTAAACGTATAAAATCAATTCCTCAGTGTAGGAGTCTTTGTTTATTATTATTTTAGCAGCAAACAGCAGCATCAATCTTCTACTACTTCATTCTCTCAAATCCCAATCGATAGAAAAACCGAGTCATCAAGTCAAGTTTGATTGATCAGACAGAGCTTTGATAAACTTCTAACAGTCGTAATGCAAATGCAAGGAAACAGAAAATGAGGCGGGTTACCTTCAGATTTAGTGCCAGTGTCAGTGTGCGTGTGTGTGTGTTGCGGCCCACGACATGCCCCCTGTTCGGGTCCCTACTAGAATTTCAACATCAGCTTATACACACTGCAGAACCACACCCATACCTTGTTCCTTACAGGTAAACAACATGCAGGTGATAAATTCAAGGTAAAAGCACTTCACCCCAAAAAAAAAGAAGAAATGACATCAGTCAAGACCCGACATCCTCAGGTCTGAGCGGAGTTGATTCTGTTCGAAGAGAAAAATGCGATCACAGTGAAAGCTTGAATGAGTTGAATTAGAAAGACAGAAAAAGAGACAGAGAGGGAGAGAAAGTCAGATTAGATTTTCTTCAGGGAGGAATTCAGTTCATCTCAGGATTAGGAAAAACAAAAACTTTGGTCATTTTAGGATGAGTACATGAGAGTGTGTGTCTTTATAAATGGATAATGCTACGTGTTCTCTATGTTGATGTATCGGAGGGTGGGGGGGCATTTGGGGAGGGGGTGAGGCACCTTTGGCCCAGTGGGGACTGGGAACCTGTTTTTTCATGCCAGGAATCCAGGTCCAAACAGGCACGTGACAGGCCACAATGATCAGTGCTGGACTCTGCATGCTGAGCTAGGAGGCAAATCCTCTCGTAGTAATAATTTTCCATGTTAATAATAATAATAATAATAATAATAATAATAATAATAATAATAATAATAATAATAATAATAATAATAATAATAATAATAATCTAGTCATTTAAAAAGTCATGAATGTTTTTTGTGTGTGTGAGTGTGAGTTTATAGTCATTTTCCCTAAGTTTTATACAGTGAAAATGTTACAGTAGAAGCCATCTCTTTGTGTATAACTGCTGCAGGAAGAGAGAACACAATATTGAACCTTGCCCATGCTTTAGGTTTCTGAACCAAATAGAGATGCAGCCTAGTATATAAACGTCGCCTAATGGGTTTTTGATTCTTTTACAGCCATGTTGTTTTTGGCCTTCGCGGAGGCGCTGTGGAAAACATGGCTGCCAGTGCCACAGTTACAGACCATCTGGGTCGAAGCCACAAGCCCTGCCTTGTAGTCCAGAGAAGTCGGTGAGTGAGGGACAGAGGCCTACAAGGCCTAGAGAGATTCCTAGAGCCCACGCTCCGAAATAAGATTAAAGAAAAATAGACTTCAGGTTTTTCTGGTTTTTTTTTTATTTTACCAGAGAAGGCGGACAGAAGCGCTGGTGGGACTTAGATAGTGATATGTGTACACCATTCCTTCCAGCGCTCTCCCACCCACAAGCACATCTGTTTAGAAGTATGTGTGTGTGTGTATGCGCACACATTCGTCTGTGTGTGTCTGTAGCCCCCATCCATTGATTGCGGCTGTAATTAGCACTTCGTCAACTATGATTGCAGGAGCTATATGCCAGCCTTCAGTGTGTGTGTGTGTGTGTGTGTGTTTAATCAGCTGTTAAAAAAAACCAACACCTCTGAATCCCCCCACAAACTTTTTGTTTGTGTGTGTGTCTGTGTGTGTGCATTGTAGGCAAGAGGAAAATCCTTTGTCCTCCAGACTGTACACATGTTGGTTTGTCTCAGTGAATGTGTTTTTTTAGAAAATCACACAACTCCCTTGGAAAATGTTTTTTTGTTTTTTGTTTTTTTCTTTTCTATGTAACTTGACAAAGAGAAAAGTGTGTGACTGGAGATAGAAAGAGAGGGGAGGGGGGAACATACTCGTAAAAAATAGAGGACAACAGTCCAAATATTTACTCTATCTATACAGTCTCTGTCCCAGAACATAGCTGGTGAACTGTGGTATAGAAAATAGATCTGAAGGTTCACGCACTCTGCTCCAACAGGGCATCGTAGGGAGGGGTGCGGCGGGGGGAGGGAGGGTTCCTGGATGAGCCGTCGGCAAGCAAAGTACCACAAGTGTGGTGCGTGAAACACGCGCTATTCACATGAATTCTCACAGTTTTAGAGGAATCTAAAGGCATTCCATGATCAGAGGGTCCTCCTCTCTCCTGTGATGGGGAAACCAGGCCACATCCCAATCCAGAAGGTGGACACGGCGGAGGAGGACGAGGAGAAGCAAGGGCGAAGAAGAGAAGAAGAGAAAGTTTTGCCTGGATCTGATCCACACAAGAATCCGGAGTCTAGTCAGGAGGTCAACCCTGTCTCTGTCACACCCCCTCTCCCCCAAACTTCCTTACCACCTCCACACACACAGAGATCGTAGGTCAGGTGTGGCTATGTGGTGGGCTTGTCAGGCTTGCTCACAGGTTTACCTCCGTTCATCACTGCGGGCTCACTTGTGCTTTTACTGGGAAGAACTGCTGCCTTGGGCACTGTCTCTCCAACGTCATGCAATGATGGCTCTCTGTACATGGCAACTGGAAGAGAAGAAATGAAGAAAGACGAGAGACAGCAAGAAAGGTGAGACAAAGTTAACACAAGGGCAGTAAGAAAATGTCGTATTGTGCATAAGACTGTACTGTCAAAGCCCTGACATACACAGAACTGGTTCTCCAGTCCTTTAAAAGAAAGAGATGCCGAGCACGGCCACACAGTGGCAAACGTGTGCAGCACAATCTGAGTTGTGTTCACTCTTAATCAACCATAGGTGTGAATTTGAGTGTGAATTTTCTTTGTCCTTCTACTGTACTGTCAGTTCAGATGGATAAAGATATGAACCTCATCTTTCACCAGTGACTTAGAAAAGGCGATAAATTGACAGCAATTCTTGGAATATTTTTTACAGGAACCAACTGAAGGCACTGAGGACTGCATGTTGACCTTTACAGTTTATTCACCGACTGTTCCCTGAAGCTGTTATCAAAAACAGTCAAACGATTCTGGCCGTAAAATATTTGTACAGTGTGACAACAGAGAGAAAGTTCAGAATTATTCAATGAGATGATTAAAATTGATCTTTTAATTATTTTCTGGTGTTCTTGTTTCATTCTGAAAAACAATCAATTTCATTTTGTCAAACTTGTGGAGGCTCCGTTCTTGTTTGTGGCTGTATTTCAGCCACTAGTGTTACAGACTTGATGTGAACTGTAAACACACTCTGCCTTATACAGTCAGCAGTGTTTTTGGGTTTTACACATACAGCAAATACTATATGTGCAGTCTCTCTGTTCAGATTAGGGGAGAGGGGAGATAAAGCTGAGCAAATTCTTTTTTCGACAAACCAGTGAAAAGTGTCTCATTAAACCCCCACATTACAGATACTACATCCCAGCTGTATTGCTGATACTTCAACTTGATTCTGTGGGTAATGATGGCATGCAATCAGCCAGCTGACTGATGAGGGCGACGGTGGCATCCGCTGAAATATCAACATTTCACACTCTTCACATTGAACCGTCTGGTGCAGCCTTCCCTGAGTGGCTACAGTGGAAACATACAGAGTAATATTGCACTTTTGTACCGAGCTACTGACACATGCAGTTGTCTTCTCAAAAGCCCACAAACATTTGTTTCTATATTTGTTTCCATGTCCCTGCTGTAAATGGCGCCACAGTTTACAGTAATGAGGAATATTTGTTGACTAGAGGAGTCACAGGGTAACAGGAAATGGAGAGGCAATGTTGGTGAAATGTTAATGAGCTGCTAATTAGGTCTCGTCAGTCTCTGGAGGTGAGCTGAAAACACACTCTAGAAGACAGACAACAACAGAAGGCCTTCATTGTACCGTCCACTTCCTGAGATGTCCATCTGTTTAATGAACAATGTTCTATTCTAGATTTAGAATAAAAAATATTCTTTCCATCTAAACCTATAGGTACAGTACATACATGCTGGCTAATTAAGACTTAACTTAATCTAAAACGTTAAAAAAAACAAAAAAATACAGACGCAATTTGTATTTGTATTTAAAGAAAGCTTAAATACAAATTAGCCATAACCTAATTGTTCTTTTTTCTAGCAAACTGTTAATCTTCTGAAAAATACTAAATCTCACAACTGAAACTGAAAAACTGTCGGCCAAAATATAGCAGAAAAAAACCTACAAGAAAAGGGTTAGTTAAGAAGCTAAAGAGCTGAAGTAAAAAAAAATAACAACATTAAAAAGCAGCCATTATATTTCACATGTGGGCAAGAGAGTTTGTTAAACAATGTGTATTTTAAATTAAAAAACAAAAAACAAAAAAAGAAAGTTTAAGGCAAAAAACAACTGGACATTTCTGTCTTAAAGCAATAACTTTAAGGCAGAACTTTAATAACAGAGCACAGCTGTGTTGTTCTCGAAGGTTAAATAAAAATAAAATACACAAACCTTTCCACTGACTATTACAAGTAAAAATACTGGACTGAAATCCGTCACTGCAGTTTCCTGTGTTTCTTTTCTTCTTCTTACCTTCTAATGGCTTGGGCAGGAAGTGAGCAGCTGGTTTTGTTTTTTTCACCCTGTTCCCCTTCATGGCTTGGCCCTCTTTGTTGAGCCCCAGGAACCAAGCCCTTCCCGACTCCTGTTGTCTGTACAGCATGGATGAATAGATCACATAGTAGTTCTCAAACACCGACTCTTTGAACTTGCACTCCGCCGTAAAGAGTTCCTGCAGAAACACAAACAGGAAGCAGATATTTTAATTAAGGTTTAACCCCTCCGAAAAGGAAGGTTACAACTCAGACTGTTTTATAAGAACAGACAAAAACATCTGTTTTCATCCATTACATTCTCACAGTCTGAGCATCTGTGTCTTAGATTCACTCTCATGAATATCAGCAGCCAGACAGAGTAAGTGCACTCTGATGACAGTCAATTTACACAGACATGAAAATGACTGCTTCATACAACAGCAGAACTCTTACATTATTCTAAAATACTGCCTATTTTCAGTGACTTAAGATAAAATATTTGCTTTTTTGGTGTAATATCCCATCGTCAATTACAAAAGTGATTTTATATACATTAGAAGAACAGAATCTCTGAGAACAAAGGATAATCTGACCAAATATCGCTGAAGGAAAATTAATACTGACTTGTAGAAAACAAATACTGCTAAAGAGTCGAACATTTTCTGATATTCTTTGTCTAGACACAGTATGTGTTTCTGTTATCTTCAACAGCTGTGACACGTTTTCATCTTAGTCAAGAGATGAGCTGCGCTACGGTTTATTTGACCAGGATTTTTATGCCTTAAACATTTAATATTTTGAAATCAGAGCAAACACCAAAACCTATTCAAATAATGAAGCATTTTAAACAGGTTTTCTCTTTAGCTTCATTTGACACGACCACAAAAATGAAAAAACAAGGTAAAGACATTTGAAAGGAACTTGATTTCAATTCTTAGACAAGGTAAAGAAGTCAGTTGTTTTTGTAGCTGGTGAAAAAGAGATCCCTCATAAATCTACAATAAAGGGACATATACTGTATATACTGTATATAAACAGTGAACTACACAATGAACTTTGACTCCCTCTCCTCTGCCTCTATCAGTATGTACGAGATGCTCCAGCTCCACTTGGAGGATCAGACCAGGGTTCAGACCATAAATGAAGGTCAACTTCACGCACGTCAACTTTATTTCACCCTAGCGATGTCAGGTCCACCCTCACAGGCTGAGACTGTGCCTGGGCAGATGAAATAGAAGCATGTTTTCACCTGTCCTGTTCACAGATGAACTGCTGTAATCATCATGTGTGAGTTAAGCCTTGACCTTGACACAAAGCGTAAGAGCACACATTTAGTCAATTATCTGGTGTTCCTGGTGGGGAGTATACACTGTGAGGCTGCGATCCCACCAACACACTAACAACGTACCCACCCTACTCCTACCCTGCTCCTCCTGTTTGTCAAACCAGGCACTGCTGGCACGATCGTTAGCTTTTTTTTCAATTAGGAAAAAAACCCTAAGGAATGTTTTTTGCCAAAATGGTAAAAAGCAATATTTCTTCAACTGCCTTCTGTATGAAATAATGATAGAAGTGGTCATTCTCTACACCACCAACCTCAAACCTTGACGGATGAACACTCAGGCACCACATCCCTCTCTCTCTGCTCTCTGCTGTTGCTCATTCATCTCCAACCAGAAGGGTAATAAAGAGTGTTTCCACATTGTCTGCACTGCCAGGCTAAAAATAAAGGCATTCATCGAGGGGTGTATTAATCAAAGCTTGCTCATTGGTATTGATGGTTTCTTCACATCTGTTGCAAAACAATCCTATAGCCAGCTGGTTTGTGGAACACATGACTGTTTGCCAAAATCTTCCCAAACAATGGCATTTCTCAAAATCCACAACAACAACTCCTTTATTGTCTCTTTAGTTTTTTTTTTTAGTTTAGTTTTTTTCCCCTAATAAATAAAGTCTAATTTGCCAATCCTAAAATTCAGATTTTCCTTAACCAGGCTAAAATGCTGGTGTTGTGCTGAAATACTGGCTGCTTTTTTCAATGTAAACAACCCAGTAGGTGGCTACATAGGACAGAGATATGTTATGGTAATATTTTGGTACAATTAGCACTCGGGTAAATAAATCCTGTCAGAGCTTATCCTCCAGACGGCGTTTAGTTGAAAGCAGAGCAGACACTGGGGATGACCGTAATGATCCTGGTACGCTCCGGCTGCATTTTGAGTGTCCTCTCTCTCTCCTTTCTCCTTGACTGAGGACTCCTGGGTATTTCTGAGTAGGAGGCAGCAGAAACACACGGTGCATTGCAAGGAAATCATCCGAGGTGCCGAAATGGAGAAAAAGAAGACGCGCCCCGCTTTATTTACTACACGACTGCAGTGGGAATCTGTCAAAATTGAGAGTACGGGCACTGAAAGGTCAAAATGGAGCAGTGATTCAGCCTTTATAGCTCCGTCTCATCTCGCTAATGATAACATTATACAAGGGAACTAATTACAGACATGCTTTATGGCAGGTGTGGTGTGTAGCAGGAGTTTCTACTTTCACAGCAAGTGGACGGACCACAGGTAGAAGTAAAGCATGGAAATGACTGTTGAGCAGAAGAGCAACTCAAAAAGTCTAAATGAACGGCCTCTGAGGACAACGAACAGACTGCATTATTATTCATTTAACCACAGTCATGAGACAGTGTTAGCAGAGGCTAACTAAAAAAACAGGAGGACTTGTGTTTGTTGTTGGACAGACATGGTGCAACTTAAAGCAAAATTGCATTATACAGTAGTGGGCACTTGGGTACATCTTGGGTATTATGGTGGCATCCCGGGTTTACATATACAATAAATAGCTAATTTTATCATTTAAACTCTTTAAGCTAAGTTGCTAAAATTGACAAAATGAAAAAAGGATTAACTAATCAATCAGAAGTAGTAAAATTAAAACTAAAATGTTGCCACAACTAAACAGTAAAGAGAAGGACCAAAGTGTAACACACAAAGGCACAGTGGTACGACAGCAGTAGGTGAGGCGGTCAGACAAATATATCGAATAGAATCTTGACAAAATCATATTGAGAACTCGGGCTGGATATATTCTGAGGAATCTCACTGACTTATATAAGCACAGCAAGGAGTATTCAGTGACATTTAGAGACAGAGAAAGAGGAGAAAATCCAGACATAACATCTACTTTCACTCCCATGACAAATCTTTTTTTTTTTTTTTTCGGCACCAAATGGTTGGATTTTCTTCCACACTCCATCTCAGCACCCCACATCAGTGTCTCCCTGGCCTGTGATTGGCCATGCTCTGAATGGGAAGACCATAATTGACCTTGGCCACAGACGGCGCAAGGGACCAAACTGCTCAGCCTCACATAATCAGCCTCCAAAAGGAAAAAAAAGCAGGATGAGGATGGAAATAAAGCAGAGATTAGCTGTCTGCAGCTGCTAGACCCAGACTAACAGAGAGGCAGCGATGGGATGGAGAAAAAGAGGGGGAAACCCAAGGAGGTAGAGTTTCTTTAAAAACAAAATGGCAGATGCAGAGATGGAAATCAACGTGAATAGCTGTGACAATGGGAAAATACATATCAACATACAGGAGCGGAAACACACACAACATAAAACAACTGATTACAGAGCGTCTGAAAGTAGGTGAGGAGGCTCAGAAAGGGGGGAGGAGACGCACATTAATATGCAGAGTGACTGCTCACTTCCCCTACTGTTGAAACCAAGAAATTGTTTATTAATGCTGGCAGCATAAAACCTATTAATCCATGGAAAAAGGTCAACCACCAGAAAGCTGAGCTGCATGCACAATGCTGAGCCGCCCTCTCATATGTATAAGAGTCACGTCGCCAGTGTGTGCAGACAATAGGGCGGGGGCTTCGGCAGACACGTCTGATTATCAAACCAGGAGGAGGCAGAGGAGACAGGGACCAAATGAGGAGAGCTGCGGTTTAACAGCTGGGTGAACTGTGTCTACAGACGGTGCAACAGCATCAGTATTTCTGTTTTTGCCCAAATTATCTGGAAAAACATGACATTTAAAACCCAATGGCGAGAAGGTCAAAGATCAAGATAGCACAATGAATTTTCACAGTTGCACAGAAGGCACATGACAACTGGGGCATGTCGTCAGTGGAAGTCTTCGTGTTGGACAATGGCAGAAAACAAAGGTTTGCAGCAAAGCACGTAGTGTTTTCACAGTGGAGGTAGTAATGCGCAATATGTCACATACCCTGACAGAAAATACTTTCACGCAGCTGTTTTGGAAGCACATATACTGCTAGAACAAAGGAACATGTATATTTTGTTCAGTGTTGATCAAGCTAATACTGTACAAAATGAACATTTATGGCATATTTCCATGCTCATATTTCCATGCTCATATTTCCATGCAAATGTAAATCTATCTTCAAACCACACTCACAAAACAGCTCCATATGGGCTGGTTAATCAATGGTCCAGACCAACTGGTGAAAAGAATGTAGGACGATTTGTCACAGTAATTTACTGATTAACCTGAATCATAGAAAGGTACATTTAAAGTAATGTGGAGTAGGGCGTATGGCTTAAAAACAATCCTCCACATTTATTTAACCTGTTACAGGGGGCACATCCAGAAACAAAGTGCAGCCGCCCACGTCAACATCAGTGGGGGTTCTAGCCGATGTGTTGGTGTGGAGGTGGCTCGGTTCTTGCTAGATACGCTGACAAGCGTATCTCAGATATGTCAAACGTACATTTCTACATGTGTGGAAATGCAGTCATTGCAGGGCAGTGTTACAGCATACACTCAGTAAACACAGAGACAGCGAGAGAGAGTGAGAGTGAGGATGTCAGAGGTGTTTCTGCAGAAACAAAGCTGAGGTGTTACTTCTGCGTCTTTCCTGTTTTGTTTTGTTTACACCCTCAGGAACGCTGTCCCAGTTTTTCTTTTTTTGTTGTATTGTTTTTCATGGTTAAGTGTTTGTATCGCCTTGTAAATTCACTTCTCTTGTTATTACTCATTAAACACTCTCCTCGCCTCAGTTCTTTTAAGAATTACTTCAGGAAGGGCAAGAGGCGTGTGAAGGAACTTTCCCCTTTGTTAAGTCACAAACTGTATCTAAATCCTGCAGATAACCGTCATAGTTACATGGTAATTACAAACTGGGTGTAACCTTTGGAGAGCAGACACCACAAAGGTACAACTAAAAC